TATTTATATTAAAGATATTGTCAATATTCTTTGTGTTGTTTCGAATGGCCCATTTGATATTTGCAAATAGTTTATATTCAATATTGAAGTCAGAAGTGGGGGCTCCAAAGAGAGAGTCTATAAAGAAAGAGTTTCAACTGCTTCAAGCCTTTAATTCCAGAAAAATAAAATCGTTTACTTCTTTTGCTAAGTGTCTTATCCACTTCGAATATTGTCTAATATGATTATTATGTTTGCTTTAATCATAGCTGATCGAAAAAGTGACCTTGTGTTTTTATTGAACCAATATCATAGCTTAATGTTATGATATCGTTCATCTGCTAAGAAGGCGTCTTGGCTAGGATATGAATAATTCGTCCTTGAAAGAATAATGTGGTGGAGCAAAATTATTGTACCACTATTTCAATATTTTAAAGGATTTGACTTATTGCCAAAAGTTTAAGTAAGTTTATCAATGTAATCTCATCTTTATAATCTACATTAAAAATTTAAATAAGTACAGATCACATTTCTTCACTAAATTCTATTTATTCTAACGAGACTGCATAAACCATTTTTATTGTATTAAAAGGAAGTTTGTCGAATATTGTCTACTAAATGATCCTTTCCATTTAGTCTCCTTACTTCTGACACAAACATTTTCAGTCTTTCATCGTTATGCTATTCAACTGGAAGAAGTTATATTGTTAAATAATCTATTGGTTTTAAATGGATTTAAATCAGTCGCGTTTAAGCCTTACTGGATCACTAGGAATACCGTTATGCCCAAATTGTACATATCTCCGTATTTACATTTTCAAGACACACACAAGTAGAATACACTTTTCTCTACTATACCATCGTTCTCCACTGACGTCTCCTTGTGTTTTTGATAGTAAGTTTCATGAGATATGCTCTCCAAAAATGTTCGCGTATATCATTTACCGATACTCTTTTATTCTAAATAACTAATATCTTTACACCCATAACTTATTAATAAATAAATAGTGCTAAATAATGAAATAAAAGCGCTGGTTATTTGCTTTAAATTTGATTAGTTCAAACTTCTAAGCCCAGCACTTCTGATCCATCAATTATATAAAGCTTATAAAACCAGTGAGTAATGAGATTTTTCAGCACTCAATACAGCTTCTAAATAAGTTCAAATTCAGAAAATTAAATATAATAATTCTTAGCGCTTTTTTTAAATAAAAAATAAAAAATATTATATATTGGTCAGACCCAAAAAAATTCAATTAATTAAATATAAAAATTCTTTACTCTTAAAAAAAAATTTAATATATTTTTATACAACATATTTTTTTATTTCATAATATAATTTATTTTTAATTTTTCCTTCTTATTTTTACTTATTAGTTTATTATAATTGGATATTCAATTCTTTATATCTCAAAAAATTTGCATTAATGAGTTGAGTTAGCAACAAATTATTTTTTAATTTCAGGCTTTTTCTATTTATCTCAAACTCAGTTCTACTTTATATCTGGAACTGATTTTTGTAATTTTTTTTAAGATTTCATTCTTTTATTTTACTTTTTCAATAATTATATATTAAATATTATTTTCAATTTTAAATAGTTATTCAAAAATCTCATACGTCCGCAATAAATATATGTAGAATCTTTAATTAATAGCGAAATGCATTGATTTTGTTATTTTTAAACAACTGATTTTTCTGCTTGGGATAAATATTTAACAAAATATACTTAGTAAAATTTTCGTAAAATATAAATTTTTAATTTTAAATAAAAAGTAGGTTATATATTTTTTTACATTTGAATTCCCCATTTAGTTTGCTTTAAAAATTTTTTGTTATTAACTTTTAGAAAATAATACTAACTGTATAAATCTATTTTAGTTCAACTAACGGTCTATTGCGGTTATACAAAAAAGTACAAATTTGGTAAAATAATGGTTAAAAAGATATTAAATGATATATATATAGCCAAAGTAAAATAACTAATAAAGCGACAACAAAAGCAAAAAAATATGTTAAGCAAATACTAGTACCGACCAACAAAATAAAAGACAAACACACACTTAACAATCTTTTATATATTAACAGTTTTAAATAAACTTTAAAAATAATTATTAAACTTAACACACTCTCTCACAAGCAAAATTTAACAAATACTATATTATCCTCTTTTACTAACAGCAATACTAATTCTAATATCCTGTACCCCATATATAATCCTATCCTTGTTCTCTTCCTCTTCCTATATACATAATCTTTCCGAATATTAAACACTAATAAAAAAAATACTAAAACACCTTTTGAAGGCAACAGTTAAGCAAAGACCAAACCAACAAGAAATTTAATTTGTTCTAGGCGTTGTACTCTTCTCATCAGCGGTTTATTTTGCGGAAGCTGGAAGCGAAAATTCCTTCTTCAAGTCCATACCCGATGCATTTTGGTGGGCTGTCGTTACCATGACAACCGTTGGATATGGTGACATGACGTATGCAAAAACTAATTACTTTCACTTAAAGAATTTTTATTACGTTTTTCATTTTGTTACGACTTTCTTTTTAACAAAACAAAAGCGAAAAAAATTTCAAAAAATTATTTCAAAAATTAAAACACGAAAAATATTTTTAAACCCAAACATTTTTTTTCAATTTTGTTTTGTTATTTCTGTTTTAATGTAAACTTTTAAAAGTTTTGTTTCCAAAAAAAAGCATATATATATATTTTAACATTAATTATTTAATCACTTACCAGTCAACCAATCAATCAATCAATCAATCAATCATTTAATCTATCAATCAAATAGCATTAAATAACAACAATTCAGACAAGCATCACAATATTTACATTCTCCAAGCAATCGACATTTCAGTGCACCTCGAATCACTTCATATTTTGAAATCTTAAATTTATTTTAAATTCAAATCAATTCATTTATGCGACACCAACTTAAGTTTCAATTAAAAATCTAAATTATTCTATGAATTTCACACAATATCATCAGCATTTGTCACTTCATCCGCACCAAACAATCACTTCCACTAACAGTTTTACATCTCAAAATTACTGAATAGCTGCGCGCGCTCTAAATTTGCCTACATTTTTTGCATATGTACAGGCTTTTTGTAAATACACTCTATGCCACATAGTACATACTATCTGAACACAGACTGACAATTATATATTTATAAAAATTATGTGCAATTGTATACTTATTTATTTACCATAAAAAATGTGTTAAATTTCATGAAATACTACAATCGCATAACCAACCTCTAATTACCGACCTCTTTTATTATAATTATTGTGTACGGGGACCAAGAGATCTATTATGAACTTAGAGTAACATATTTCTCGAAGCCCAACGTACACTATTAACTCTAGATTTATACCCATATAACAGAAGTTTATTTCTTATTCTGATATGAGACGCCCACTTAGATTGTCATTCGTTTATGTAACAGTATTGGAGAAACTCCTAGGGCTTTTGGGGTCTTACATTTAAGGTCTTACTTAGAGTAATATATTTCTTGCAGCCCAACTTTCACCAGAAATTGTATTATGGAACCTATATTACAGAAGTTTATTTATTCAAGTGACATAAGTTGCCCACCTAGCTTGTCATTTGTTTATGTAACAGTATCGGGCTAACTCCTAGGTCTTTTGAAGACTTGAATTTAAGGTCTCAGTTTATCGTAAGTAAAACACTAACCATAAAAATTAATAAAGTTTTTAATATTCAAATTAGATAGTTACCGAACTACTTTGTGTTTAAATAATTAGCTGAGATTGCAGCAATATCCACTTGTTAGAGAAATCTATATTTTTATTATTATTAATGAGAACATAATTATCTTAAGACCTTTATATTTGTTCTTTTTTATCAAAAAATATATAGGACTACAAAGAAAGTAACTGGCATAACTAGATTAGAGTAAAATAATTTCTTATTGTCTATTTTAATGAATATAATTCTATATGTTTTATACTATCTGAATCCTACTTTTGAGTACTCCTCATATCTATTTTTGAGTACTCCTCTGAACATGTAATATAGTATTTTGAATTACAATAAAAAATAAATGATGAACCTAAATTATATTAAAATATTTTTACTATCTACTTAACTGCAAATAAAGAATATATAAAATCTTTATATATACTTTTTAATAATCAACTTACTAGGTTTTCCATACTGTCTTTTGATCTAAAACCTAAGTTTCCGCCTCAAAAGTAAGCATAGGATTACCAAACAAACTTCAAGTTCAGGTGGTCTATTTTACTGTAAATATATGTTTTATATATATTAGGTGGATGTTTGTTGATACCAGGTCTTACTAAATATTCTGGTTTTTATGTGAATCTGAAACCTATTTAAAGTTTACAGATACATTAATTTGTTAATATATAGTAATATGTAGATTTAGTTTACATTCAAATATCTTTAATTATCTACTTCCTAAATAGAGAACAAAGAATAATGGCAAATGAATATTTGTAGTATATATTTTGAGAATTAAAAGACTAAAGAAGAATAAGACGGATTGAAAAAATTCTTCTTAGGATTTCTTTGAATTTTAGTTTCAATGGTTGAAGTCCAACCATATTGAATATTTTACAAATTTTATGTATATATTAAGAGTGATAAAAAAGTTTATATTAAAATATGTGATATATTACCGTAGTAGCGCGTTAAAATACAAGTTTTTTTTATTAAACATTAGGTATTTTAATGCCGCTTAAAATAAATATAGATTGGATATAGAAGAATACATACTTCTTCTACTTCATAGACAATTTCTCCGCTAAAACCTTATCTATCAAAATCGAAAGTTGTCGTTCGCTTGCTTCAGGACTTATAGAGCAGATAGACGGTTAACAATATAGGTATTATGTCGAAATAATTTGACTTCCCTTTTATGCTACTTCTTTGATATAAAGGATAAAAAGTAATAAAATAAACAAACTATAGATCTTATACTCTGATACATATATATTTATAACCTATAGAAAGTTTTCCCGATTTAAAACTAATTATGTTTGTATATATATTATAAATATATTTATTATACGAATCACTGAACTAGACATCACCGAACTTCTTTTTATATTTTAAACATACACAAACAACTCAACCTAATCAAATTTAAAATTTTCTATTCAAAATTAAAAAATTGTTTAATTGATATCAGTCAGTTATGATTCAACGGATATAAATTATTAGAATATTGGACTTAAAAAAAATTATTAAATCTAAAACTCAAACATATAAACTAATTACAAAAAACATTAATTAAACCCGCATTGACCTAAAATTTATTGGATCTCAAGAAAGAAAGATTCCAAAAAAATTGCATTTCATTATTTTCTACTCTGCATGCGGCATGTTAAAATTGTAAATGCTTTATGTTATAATTAACAAAAATATGTTTTTTTAAATTGGCTTGAAACATAAAAAAATTGAGGATATATAAAACTTTTTTTTTTGCTAAAATATTTTCTAAATTGTTTAAGACTGCAACAATTTCACTAACTCATTCAAAAAACAAACAACTTTTTAACCATATACAATACATATACATATAAACATACGATACCATACCATACTTATTTTCACTTTTAATAGAACTCATTTATTTTATGACAGATTATTATATATATCAGAATATATCAGTATATAGTTTTTATTTTAGTTTCTACATAAAAATCAGTTTAACTCCAGTACAACATATTACCTCGAGAACCACATATAATACAATTTCATTTCAATTTATAATAAAATCATTTCGTTTTCATTTATAAGTTATAATGTATAGGAGTGCAACTCCATGGATCACACAAATGCTCCCAGCACTTGCTTCATAAGCACTTTCTTATTAGTTCACCTAGTATTTTTATAATAAATAGTTTTATATAAGACTATTAATCCATATATGACATTTAACATCAATTAACATACATTAACTCAATGAATTTTTATACATTTAATAAATTTAAATAATGTTTTTATATTTTTTCTTGTTCTTAAGCTTAATTTCACTGCTTTAACTTTATAACAATAGTATTTATTTTAAAATTTTTAATTTAGCAATTTATAAAATACGATTATATATACAAATTTTGTACACATGGATATAGTTAAATACACACACACATATATATATACGTATATATAAATAGTGATACGAATTTACAATATAATAGCTAGATATATATATATATAAGACATTAAACACATATGAAAACACTTTAAATAATATTTTTTTAAACCTATCTCACATTAAAAATACACACATACACACTATATATAATAGTAAAAATTTTTAATAATTTTTCGTCTCTCACATCCAGAACATCACATTGCTTCACTTTCTCTCTAATTCACGCTCGTTCACTTTCACTAACTGTTTCCTCCAACTTTTTAATGTTACGCGCGCTCTATAAATCCTCTCTTTACTTTCATGCTCTCTTAACCAAGTACTTCCCTATAACAATGTACTATTTTATTATAGTAAATTTACTAACAATATAATTTTTGTACAATTCCCATAATATATATATAAATATTTATACATATATATCAATGATATAATATAATAATTTTTTTCGTTATCTACATGTTTTGTACGTATCCTCTTTTTTTTAATATATTGTATATTAAAATTTTTATTAAAAAAAAAAAAAAACAAATAATAATAATAAGCGAAAATTTTCAAAATTTTGACTTCATGATCTATTTTATATTTGTTTTTCATTTTATTAATCGTTCGTTCGTTCGTTCGCTCGTTCGTTAAACATCGTACTTCATCCTAACAAAAACAAAAACAAAAAACTTTAAAAAAAAAATTTAATAAAATTTTAAATGAAAATCGTCAAAACCCCAAATACAACGTAAATGCCGAAAACACAAAAAAAAAATATATATAATATGAAAAACCAAAAAATATATATTAAAAATATACAGACCTGTCGGCGTCTGGGGTAAAATCGTGGGATCACTGTGTGCCATTGCTGGTGTCCTGACAATCGCTCTCCCGGTACCAGTTATCGTCAGTAATTTCAATTACTTCTATCACCGCGAAACGGATCAAGAGGAGATGCAGAGCCAAAACTTTAATCATGTTACTAGTTGTCCATATTTACCTGGTACATTAGGTAAGATTGATTTGATTACTTCTTCTACTAAGCCATACGTGTACATTTATATACCATATATGTTTATGTAAATTTGCTAGTTTATATAAAAATGTACATACACCTATTATAAATTCTATTTAAGTTCTACTAATATAAGATCACAAGTTATCATGCACATTCTCTAACTCTTCCTTATGTGTCTTATTTCTTTTTTTTCGCTCTTCTCTTTTCATCGAAATTGCTTGTTCATGTTTTTACAACACTTACAAGTAGGTCAACATTTAAAGAAATCATCGTTATCTGAATCCTCATCGGATATGATGGATTTAGATGATGGTGTTGAGTCGACGCCAGGATTGACTGATACCCATCCTGGTCGTTCGGTTGCTCCATTTTTAGGAGCACAACAGCAGCAAATGCAGCAGCAGCAAACAATTGATAAGCAACAGCAACAGCAGCAGCAGCAACAAATACAGTTGCAGCAACAGCAACAAAATGGCTATAAGCAATCTCCAATGAGTGTTCCCGGCGGTAATAGCCTAACATTAAGGCATAATAATGCTTTAGCCGTTAGTATCGAAACCGACGTTTGACTACTGGGTAAGTGAGTTTAAAATATTTTCTAAATTTCTGAAGTGAAAGCAAAGAAGTCCATAAAAGTGCTTAGACCCAGACCTTTAAAAGTTAATGTAATTCTATATACTTGCTAATGAGTTATTATTTATAGAATACTCATAAACGCATTAAAATATTATTATGAAATGAATATTATTTAAAAAAAATACTAATTTATATATGAATAATATGATATACGACTAATAAATACTAGGTAGTTCATTTCAAAATACCAGGGATACAATAGTCAAAAAAATAAATTAAATTATAATGTAGGGAAGTGTCATTACTTAATTTAAAATGTACCGTACATACCCCACATTAAGCAGATAATTCTGTAGTCCGCGGAATGTATGAAATTCCGAGACGCAGAGAAGATTTATTGCCAATATTGCTTGATGTTCGTGGTCAGTAGGTCATAAGTACAGTAATTCGGCAGGAGATCTTTACTCTAAAGAACTAAAGAAATCACTGTGCAGAAAAAGTTCATTATCTAAATTGTGTTGTCGTTAATACCACAGGTGATTTTTTAGTCTAAGAAACGAAACAGATTACTATGGAAACATCATTACTTAACATACAATATATAGCAAATACAACAAATTCAGAAATCGACACAATCATAGAAACCTATGATAACTTAAAATAAGGAAGATTCATTTTCGATATTATCTGTTGAACAGTATATTATAAATTCTATACTTTAGAACGATTAAAATCGTAAGACTGGAACAATTTATTTTCAACATTACTTTACATAGAGTGTGTTAAAGACAAGCCTGAAATGATAATATTTAAAAATAATAGTATTTTATTATTATATAATAATAATTTAAAATAATGATTTAATATTATTATTATTTATGTTATAATTACTTTAACAAGCATTATACTTACAGTTTTTTTTACACTCATATAAATATATATCACTGGTACTTTCAAAGTACTTGAAGTTAATTTCAGAAATTTAATTTTAGTCCTACTTAATTCTCATATTCCCCTATAAATAGTTAAGCGACTACTTATTTCTACTTTCTTAAGGCTTACAATACTAAATACAAGACACTCAAGTCATCTGTAATTTCCCAAATAACATAGCTTACATTATATGTAGGCTCCCAACAAGATCTTGGGAGCTCATTAAAAGACGCCGCTTACTGCAGTTCTCTTTGATCACTTATAAAAGAACACACGCAGCCCAACTGCGTATTCCTTTTACTACTCACTTTTACAGTGAGTTCCTGAAGGTTCCTGGAAAACTTACAGGAAAAACAAGCAGTAAAACACTTTCTCTGTGAATCCCCGGCTCTGCTCTCCAGTAGAAAATATTTAAACTCAAGAGAATGGATTAGGTTTATGTTTTTTATTTACCTATTAAGATTTCTTGCCTGAAATCTGGTGGTAAAGCGGAATAAAATCCTTAAAATTTGTTATGCTAAAATCAATCATTCAATATTCTTTACCTTATCCACTTACTCCAATAATGACTGTACGATATAAGTCTTAAAAGAAAAGAAATAAAACACTGTGGTATAGGTTTAATACTACAATTCATAGAGGAGTTAGACTTGGAGAAATACACTATATCCATAAGAGGGACACAATAGATCTCTAGGTCGCAATGCATATTCCCTCAATATACAGAAGAAGAGTCAGAAATGTGTCTCTAGTTTTAATGAATTTGTAAGAAATATTTTAAGTCAATTTCTGCTGTTTAATTGTGGAGTATATAAACTTCAGAAAAAAAAATTAAATATTTAATATCTTTAATTTTTTTTCAAAATTAATTTAAAATGTAGTAAAAAAGACGATACGTGCTCTAATTTGGCCTTGTGAAATGTTACGTTGGATGCCAGAAACGACTACAAATGCTGTTTGAATTTAAGTTTAAGTAGAACAAATAAAAACAAATTAACAATTTAAAGATATTTAAAAAAAATTAAAATAATTAAATTTAAATACAAAAAAAAAACATCGAAAATGCAAACTAGCAACAAAAAAATTAAGGCAAAATTCAACAACAAAAAAAAATCAAAAAAAAAAAAATATATAAAAATTGTAATTATGTGAAAAAATATTATAAACAATTAAAAATGAAAAAGAATATTAAACGTGCCGTTCATAAATAAATAAATAAAAAATGTTATTGTTATAAATGAAATGCTATTATAAATTTAATTCAACTAAAATAAAATTTCAAAGTATATACAAAAATTCAGAACTCAGAAAACACTTTGAAATTAAAAATTCTGCAAAAGATTGCCACTTTGAGAAAAATTATTATAAAAGAGTTTTTACTAAAAATAATTTTCAAGTTTGATTATAAAAATTAACTATTTTTAAACAAATTTAATAAAATGTAAATTTTAATTTTTATAAATAAAAATTTTTTATAATCAGATTTATATACATAAAATGGATATACCTATATTTAAAAATTTATATATTTATATTTGTATATTTATATGTATAAATTTTATATATATACTGATTTGTACTTTATATATGTAAAATCGATATGTATATATATTTATGTTTGTATATTTATATATATAAATTTTAAATATATACTGATTCGTGCTTTATATATATAAAATGGATATGTATAAATATATTTATATTAGCATATATATATAAACGTTTATCTATACATATTAATTTTATATATGTACTGATTCATACTTTAATTATTTTATTTAATTTAATTTTTAAGGTGGCAATCTCATTCGTAAATATGGCAAAATTATTATTATATTTAAACACAGAAAAGCAAAAATTCCTATTACTTCAAGAAAATAAAAAAAAATTACTGATATATATAAATGAAATACAGGCCGTAATAAAAAATTAACAAAAAGCAAAGAAAATTAGTAAGAAATTTAGGCATGAAATGAATGGATAGTTTTTGCATAAAAAAATTAAATAAATTTAAATAACAGAACGCCTTTTGAAATAATTCTATGAAAATAAATAAATATTTAAAAAATAATTTAATTAAGAAAAATATATAAAAAGCATTAAACACTGTCAGCATTCAGCATAAATAAATAAAAATATCATTAATTAAAACGAATAAATTATTAGGAAAACTGCAAGCTAAGCTAAAATATTTAGTTTGATACTAAAGTAAAAAAACTTAATTAAAACTGCAACAAATTTTAGCATAAAATGTTTAATTAACTAATATCAAAAGAAAAGCATTTGTATTAGAGAAACAGCAACAAATTACAGTACTCTTACCTATATAGACTACTAGATTACTAGTAGGAAGCAAATGAATGAACACGTCTTCAGAATAACATCCAATCTTTAGCAAAAGAAAAAAAACTAATATCTGATATAAAACATAGTAAAAGAAATTTTTTTAAAAACAAAACAGACAAACAACAGATTAAAATTAAAATAATAATTATCTAATATTCAAAAAAAAATTATAAATATATTAAATCATTAATTATTTTAAACCCAAATTAAGTGCTTATAACTTCAAACTAACATATTAAAATCTCTAAAAACTATTTAAACCATTTGTTAGAAAATGTATTTTTAAAAGTAAAAATATTTAACATTTTCTTTACTTCTGCTTTTAAACATTCTAATTTTTAATTTTAAAGTAAAAAAAAAACGATTTTTTTAATGCATAATTTATTTTTCATTTACAATAGAACAATTTAAATAAATTAAAAAAATAATAATATATTGAACTGTGTATATTCAAAAAAAAAAAACTGCCGTCAAAAAGAAAATTATTTCTTGTTAATAATAGTTTATTCAATAAATCCAATAAAAACTATAAAAAGTATCTGTAAAATATAATAATATAATTGTTCACCTAAAAATAAATTATGCATACACGTACACACAACAAATGGGAACCTATGTAAATAGATAAATATTTAAATACAAAATAGAAATATGTATATAAAATTTAATAATATAAATATGCCATCAATTGTAAGCATTGAAATATTACTTCATCTACTTCTTTAACAAATCCACTAAAGTTGATCCTTGACCTCTTTTACAACACTACAATTTTTAAAATTCATTAAAATTTCCACTGGCTTAAGACTAAAAGTAATTTTTTCTTTTTCTTTGGCAATACAGCTGAAATTAATACTTGGGCTTTTCTATACCACTTTACAATTCTTAGCGGAACTCCGTAATCCTTATCATTATGTGGTTTCTAAACAATTCTCATTTCAACAAAATTCCAATTAATTAATTCTACTGGCTTAATCTTCTTCTTCTTTGCTAAAATTGAATTCTGGTCTCTCTTTTATTAGGTTTTCTTCAGTCTTTATGATTTCTCAAGACTGCTTCGCTGTCATTGATATCAAATAATTTCCAAGCAATTGTCACTTCAAGTTACCCACTGGCTTAAAAGTGCAAATTATTTCTTCTTCTTCTTCTTCTTTAAAAGTACAGCTAAAGTGTTGCCTTAACCCTCCTCACAAAAATTCTTCAATCTTTACGATATCTTGCAACTGCTTTACAGCTTTTACTGAACTGGTTTACTATTAATATATCACAAAATTACAGAAATTACTTATTATTGAAATAGATTCTTTCAAACGGAATATCTATTAACTACATTCATATATATTGATATTCAGATGTCTGAGTTGATAAATCAGCACCTTTACTCTATTTTATCTGTGGACAGTTTTAAGTCACACTAAGAATAACTGAATACGGGGCTTTATAATATGATGGATCTGATGTCTTTGTATCTGCCTGTGTTTATCATATTTCGCTGTATTTTGGAGAGTTGGATTATTGTGACTGTCAATTATATTGAACAGTTTCAGAGCACGATCTTTAATGTACTTTTCGACTGAATCGACTCTCAGATCTCTGTGGATATCCGCTCCTCTTACGT